CACAGCGAGTGAGTGAGATTATTCTGTCATTTAAAACAAGATCCAGGTCCAATATACGTGTTTTATCTTTTATCAGGCAGACAGAAGTTGAATAAACTATATAAAATGTAGGCTAATATTATCTGGCTTCGGGTAGACAGAAAAAAAAATGCAATAGACACATCAGACCATTGTGAAATGCACTGCAGTTATTTGATTTTTTTCAAATCATCCTAGTAGGCTATATGTGACCCAAGTGAATCAAGCAAGGAGCCAATCACACAGAACACTTAGATTAAGATTAAAAAGATTTTAAAATAATTTTGTATATTCTGTTACTCGCTAATATGCTAGCGTTACCTCACTTATTATTACACAGATATAGCCTATGTTAAACAATTAAAGTAGCCTAATATGTAGACAATGTTGACTTGAGTTAGTCTATCATGTTATAGGCCTATGTGAGAAGAAAGAGAAACAGTCTGGGATTTGCATCGAATTCTTTTGGTGGTGTAGCTATATAGTGCAAAAATAGCATGAACTATGAAATTAATATTTTAACTTAATTCTCTGATGATCGGTAAAATCCCGGATGATCATGCCCGGCTGTGTGTGTGCTATTATAAAAAAGTGCTGTCAAACGATTAATCGTGATTAATCGCATCCAAAATAAAAGTTTTTATTTACATAATTTATCTGTGTTTACTGTATATATTTATTATAAATACACACACATACAGTATATATTTTGAAAATATTTACATGTATTTACATGCATTTATTTACATTCAAATAATTTATATTATATATAAATATATTTAATATATAAATGTAACATATTTTTCTTAGATATATACATGCATGGGTGTGCATTAATATATACATAATAAATGTACACAGTACACACACATATACTATGCAAACAAAAACTTTTATTTCGGATGTGATTAATCCTTTGACAGCACTATTATAAAAGCAAAATGAAATGCTTTTATAGGCTACTGTTTTTATAGCCTACTGACTACAATGAGTAGCCTGGTTGTAGCTATATTGTTGACAGTTCATTTAAACTTAAACATAGGCAATTTAAACAAAAGCAAAACACAATAGCAATATTTTTATTTTATTTATCATTAGTAAATGATTTAAGAGTCGTTTATTGAATCACTTGTTTCATTTCTGAATAAATCAGTGTTCCTGTATGAATCATTTCAGGGATTCTAATGACTCACTCATATAGACGGTAACTTGTCGCCACCTACTGGCATAACGTTGTAACGAATTCTTTTGGTGGTGTAGCTATATAGTGCAAAAATAGCATGAACTATGAAATTAATATTTTAACTTAATTCCCTGATGATCGGTAAAATCCCTGATGATCATGCCCGGCTGTGTGTGTGCTATTATAAAAAAGTGCTGTCAAACGATTAATCGTGATTAATCGCATCCAAAATAAAAGTTTTTATTTACATAATTTATCTGTGTTTACTGTATATATTTATTATAAATACACACACAAACAGTATATATTTTGAAAATATTTACATGTATTTACATGCATTTATTTACATTCAAATAATTTATATTATATATAAATATATTTAATATATAAATGTAACATATTTTTCTTAGATATATACATGCATGGGTGTGCATTAATATATACATAATAAATGTACACAGTACACACACATATACTATGCAAACAAAAACTTTTATTTCGGATGTGATTAATCCTTTGACAGCACTATTATAAAAGCAAAATGAAATGCTTTTATAGGCTACTGTTTTTATAGCCTACTGACTACAATGAGTAGCCTGGTTGTAGCTATATTGTTGACAGTTCATTTAAACTTAAACATAGGCAATTTAAACAAAAAAGCAAAACACAATAGCAATATTTTTATTTTATTTATCATTAGTAAATGATTTAAGAGTCGTTTATTGAATCACTTGTTTCATTTCTGAATAAATCAGTGTTCCTGTATGAATCATTTCAGGGATTCTAATGACTCACTCATATAGACGGTAACTTGTCGCCACCTACTGGCATAACGTTGTATCCTAACTTAAAGTCAATTGTCAATTGCTGGTAATGATTCTTGTAAGATTTTTAATGACAACTTTATTTACATGAAAGTGTCAGACTTCCTTTTTTTCAAGAGTGGCTTTGTATAGGCCTATATATTTTTTCAAAAAATGTTTTTTGCTAAAGATAAATTGACTTCACCTGCAGTGGATTTTGATCTATGAGAACTGATCTTGCTTTGGTCATTTATTAAAGGAACATTTAACAATGCTCAAAGTAGCTGAGGGACATACTGCTATCTTACTTCTTGCCCACTTCTTGCATCGTGATACTCCAGTTTGCAGATACAACCTTTACAAGGTTTTTAGACATGAAAGGATTGTTAAATGAACAATTAGGTGAATGTTGCTCCTTATTGGAAGTATCTAATACTGATATATCTGAGCAAAGATTAATCTAATCTTCCAGTACACTGGTGTTTTGTAATCTTAGACTTTTTTCATTACTTGGAAATGTTTAAGAGACAGGCCGAAAAAGTCGACAAACACCTTCTACCATGAGAGGAAAGAAAAAAACAAGATCAACAGTTACTACTTCACCAGAGCTCAACTTTTCAAAGTGCACTTTGTTTTCATTATATCTCTTTAAAAACTCTTGTCAGCTTCTACACTTTCACACAAACAAAACAAAAGACTCTCAGGTCTTTTGTTGGCAATCTCTCTCAATACTATAAACATTTAACCCTTCCATTTGTAAAAGCTTGATAGCACTGAATATAGAATAAAATAGTTGATGTAAGGAATAGTTATGTTCTTGTATTTAAACATTTATAACCTTCTAAATACCTATAGCCTATGCGAACATGACCAAATGACATAAATGTTTTGTCTTTTTTTTAGAAAAAAAATGTTTCAATGATAATTGTTGCCTTTTAATATTTAAGCTTTTTTATTTTAGAATATTAAAAATGTCATTAGAAATATGAAATGTTAAAAGTGTACTGTTTTGTGTGCATCTGCTCTGGTCAGGCAGAACTGGCCTTAGAAAAACTATTTTAAATGAAAGAAAAAAAGTCTTGACCAGGGGCGCATCAGGTAGGCTACTCACAAGCGAGACTATGGGTGCTCCAGAGAGGGAACAAAACGTCAAAAACAAAAAGTGGATCCCATTGCAAGAAACAAAACAAAAAAATCCATGTCCAGGCACCCACATAGCAGGCAGAATATAAAAATCCTTTATTGTAAAACAGGGCTACATCTTAAAAAAACACCAACGTGAATCAGCCCAAACAGGCCTTCGTCAGAATGTTCCAGGGTGTTTTGTTTCTTGCAATGGGATCCACTTTTTGTTTTTGACTATTTTAATATGATTTAATGCCATCTCGGTCCTCTGTTAACGCCCTTTTTATAGACTTCGTAATATTTCCACATATTTTCAGAGTTGAAGCAATGCAATAAAAAACCAAGGGCCACTGTCCCTGCATGATGGGCCAATTCTTTGCAAAAAAAATAAATAAATAAAAATATAAAAACATATATATTTGGCCTAAATAAATAAATAAATATATAGCAGATTGCCAATCCAGCCCCGCATGATTCAGGACCTCTTCCTGTGAAATGTTTTGCTAGAAAAGTGAGTTCTATCTTTGGTTCGATAGGCATTTTTAGTTCAAATGTATGGAAACTGTTTGAAAAATAATAAGACTGCACTATATATGTCGTGACGTCGGCGGGCCATTATGACGCGCCATTCTTTAGAACGTTCGGTGAGTGAAAATGCGAGAGAAAACTAGATTCCAATTTGTAGCGAGTCGGCGACTGATTGTGAGTAGCTACACTCTTCACCTTGGATTTGAGTATCTTTCTTTTGATCAATATTTTTCGTGACAGTTTAAGCAGTGGGAAATTATTATTGTCTCTACGGTACAATGAGAAAATAAAACGCATTCATAGTCCGCTGGAACTTTGCTAATAAATCAACAATTATTGGGTCTGAATTTGATATATTTGATGACATTTATGTTCCACTACACAAGTGATATCTAACGACATCTTAAAATAGTTCTAAGTAAAATAGACTAATAATCAGTGTTGGGGGCAACGCATTATAAGTAACGCGAGTTACGTAATCAGATTACTTTTTTAAAGTAACTAGTAAAGTATTCCTCAAAACGAATAAAAACAGTCAAATGCAAACTCATAATATTAATACTTTGATGATCCAAATCAACCATACTAAGCAAAAACGACACATTTGTGTTTCATTTTTGTTATTGCTGAATAGTATTGAACTTTCTTCTCCTGCGTCATATTCTTCATGCAATTTGTTTGAGCTGCACCCTATACTAGTGTACAGACATGAATTTACATTTCCTTCAGCCTGAGGTGTATTCATTTCACTTTTGTTGTGAAAGGGGCTTTTACATTTGTAAAAGAAGAACTTTTTTATATTAAAAACAAACAAGCAAGCCCTGCCCAGATTTAAAACATAACTCAAAAGTAACGTAACACATTACTTTCCATAAAAAGTAACTAAGTAACGTAATTAGTTACTTTTTTAAGGGAGTAAAGCAATATTGTAATGCATTACTTTTAAAAGTAACTTTTCCCAACACTGTTAATAATACGTTATCACCAATAAAACTCTGATTACCAACACAACTTTTCAGTTTAATTAGTCGAGGCCTTTTCCAGAAACCTATAACTGTCTAATTGTGCATGCACTTTGCTTCCTCTGACAGACCGCAACTGGGTGTGTGCCTATTGTAAAAACATAAATAAATAAATAAAAGAAAGAAAGAAAAAATCTGAATATTAATAAACTAAATCAACCAGCATTTAGGGTTTCATGTGTTTACTCAACTCATTTCTTCCCTTTTTCTTTTTCTTACAGAGTGTCACAGATAGTTCACTGTTGCACACAACTGTTAAAAATTATACACATTGTTTTGGATAACCTGTCTTACCATCATCACTTATCCAAAAATCTAAGCATGTCAGTCATGCCTACACAACCCTTCATCCCCATAGATGAGCACGATGAGCTCATTACAGCCCTCCTCGCAGGGCGGTGGTGGGCAGTAATGGAGGTTGAAGACCGTTTACACTCCTCATCTGAAAAGGGTGAGTGTGAACATCTCCCTTCGGGCCAGTGGTGGGGAATAGTGGAGGAAGCACCTGTGCCCACTGCATTCCACAAGGAAGCACCTGTTCTGGCCATGTCCCCTGAGGGAGCCCCTGTGCTCACTGCGTCCCCCGAAGAAACACCTACTCTGGCCAGGACCCCTGAGGGAACACCTGTGATCACTGCCTCCCCTGAGGAAACACCTGCTCTGGCCAGGTCCTCTGAGGGAGCACCTGTTTCTGCTGCATCCTCCGAGGAAGCACCTTCTCCAGCCAGGACCGCTCTGAGGAGAAAATTAACGATCCCTACAAATATGAGGCAGTACCTGACAAGGGATGTCATTTTAACACCTTTGCCATTAAGACCTCCAAAGGGACCTGCTCCACCTGCCAGGGCCCCAAAAGGAGCACCTGTTCCCTCTGGTTCTCCTGAGGGACTATCTGTTCCAACTGGGTCCTCTGAGGAAGCACCTGCTCCAGCCAGGTCCTCAGCAGGTGCACCTGTTCCTACAGTGGCCTCCGTGGAAGCATCTGCTCTGACCGGGTCCCCTGAGGGAGCACCTGTTTCTGCTGCAACCTCCGAGGAAGCACCTGCTCCAGCCAAGGCCCTATTGAGGAGAAAAGAAACAATCCCTGAAAATATGAGGCTGTATCTGACAAGGGATGTCATTTTAACACCTTTGCCCTTAAGGCTTTCAAAGGGACCACCTCCACCAGCCAAGGCCCCAAAAGGAGTACCTGCTCCCTCTGCTTCCCCTGAGGAAGCACCTGCTCCAGTTAGGTCCCCCCAAGGAGCACCTGTTTGTTCCGCATTCCCCAAAAAAACACCTGCTTCGGACAGGTCTCATGAAAGAACACCTGTCTGCTCTGCATCCCCTGAGGGAGCACTTGTCCCGGTCAGGTCTCCTGAGGGTGCACCTGTACCTGCCGCCTCCTTCGAGGAAGCTCCTGCTCCGGCCAAGTCCCCTGAGGGAGGACCTGGGCCCACTGAATCTCCCAAGAAAGCACCTGCTCCAGCCAGGTCCCCTAAAGAAGTGCTTGGGCCCAACAAGCCCCCTTGGGAAGCAGCTGTGCCCATCATGTCCCTAAAGAGAGCGCCCAAACCCACTGCACCCCAACGGGGAGTACCTTGGAAAAGGCTTTGCCCATGGAGTACTGGAGCTTTGGTAAGTCCCTCCTATCTCTCATTTGTACTTTTCAGATTTATTCAGAATATGCAATATCTATTTAAAATCCTTTGTACATTATGTAACAATATGTAGCGATATGTCTTTAGTTTTTGTCTGCAAAACTTTCATGCCCATACATTACATGATGATGTCGGTTATTTCAACAGGACAATGTAGATGTGGTTCAGCCACCTCCACACAAAATACAACGTGTGAGAAAAGACCCTAAAGCCTCTGCAAGTTCCCAGCACACTTTGAGTAGAGGCAGTGCCTAAATGACCAAAGGTTTGTCCCTCCTCTTTCTCAGTTTTACTTTTAGATTTATATAAAAAGCGGAGCATGCCTAAGGATACCATCAATTCACCAACAAAATCTCCACCTCATAAAAGTGTTATATTTTTCATGTGATCAACCAATAGCAATTTTGAACTCTCACGACAAATGTAAAGAAAAAAAAAGTAAATTTACAAAAAAATTTTTTTAAATATGTCTATTAATTTATTTTATATTAAATCATAAATTGTATAAATAAAATAAAATGAAATTGTCATTTTATTTTTTTAAATGTCACTCTTAGTCCTCCATAAAGGTGGCAAAGAAATAACAAGCATGTCTGCATAGTGGGGAAAAAACAGTTGGTTAAATGAATGGGTAATTTATTTTCTATCATGGTGTGTGATTCAGTGTATTTGATATAGACCATTGGTTTTCTGATATACTCAATGCCCTCTTTATCAAATTCCCAAATTCATTTTACGCATCACTTGCAAATTGAAAGTAATTACATTATGGCATATTTCACCCAACAGTATTGTGTTAGTGCATAAAAACATAAAGATTCTGTTACATCAAATGTTATGAGATATAAACAACCCATAAAAGAAAAAAAAAAGATTTAATACTGTATATTAAGACAAAATAAACTGGTTCAAGATATACAACATATAACATATAACATACAAACATTTTAAAAAATGCATATAATCCAAAGGTGGCCATTTTAAAAACATGTAATCCAAAGGTGGCCACCAATCAACTTCTGCACTCTTTCCCGTTACGACCAGAAAACATGTCTATGGTTCATATAACCTGTCTAGTTTAGATCTATAACTAGCTGATTCATTCTTTTGGACCTCAATACACTATTAGACTTCTGTCTCATTGGGCCCTTTATTAACATGCAATTCCCGCAGGTTTTACCTCTGCAGGAGTGAGTCATTGCTCCCCCATTATTATCTCTCTCATTTCTGTGACTGATTTCACAGCGTCAACAATTCTACAAAACTTTTGGGAGGTTATTAAAGACTAAAATTGATACATGTTTCACTACATGAGCCGAGGAGAATCAAAATGATTGTTTTCTCAAATTAAATTAGGATTTTTGCTGCAGTCACATCTTTGATGGTGATTACACGGTATTGTATCAGGAATGTGGAGCTGATTTGTTATCTTCGGTTCTCATTTACTTCATCTGGATCACAGCATGTGCTCTTGCCACTCAAAAGACAGGTGGATGTACTTAAGGCTCAAGCAATTCTCCAAAGTGACTCATTGTAACTGTAATTATTCTTCTTGCTGTCATGACAGGAATGGATCACCACTCTAACAAATTACACAGCAAAATAAACTGCACTTGAGCAGCAGTTTCTTAAAGTTCACTGCAGTACGTTCAGTATTAAGTGGAAAATAATTTTACAATTAATTAATAATTAGATTGCCTGTTTTAATATACTATGAAATTGTATGATGATTCTATGATCATAGAATTTAAAAGCAATTTATGTTAAATTGAAAAACAATTATATGAATGGAGTAAGTGTCAGAGAAAATGCTTTTTATATATTTATGTGTTAAGTTGCTGTGTTTAAATATTCATGAAATGAGTGCATGTTGTAGTAAAATTTAATATGAGAAGCTCTGCGCATACAAATAATATGCAAAAGTGAGTCAAACCTGAATAACTTACAAACCTCCCATAACGTGTGCATGATCTCAGTTAACATTACGAAAGGTAATGATAACCGACTCTTTGAAGTGAATGAGCACTTCTTCCATTATTGTTCCATTACAGGAAATTATACATACTTCAAGTGGATTGCACCTTTATCAAACTAAGCATGGCTGGCTGGGGCAAAGATGAATGAGAATGTAACATAATTTAGTAAATGACTCTTAAAGTGAGCTATTGCACTGACAGTGAGAGATGTACAAAGGCTCTCATGGTTAAGATTTCTTCCACATTAAGGCCAAGGCCTTTTAGTTTCAATATAAAAACAGGCCAGCAACTCACAAAATATTAACAGATTAAAAGAAACTGCACATTTTACTCTGCATATTTGATGTGTTCCTTCTTGAGAGAATATTTTGCTGAAAGACTGTGCACTGTCACAATCAGATTTCCATTTACCTCTGCATTTCAAATGTAGCTGTGAGAATTGATCTCCATATATATGTAACGCATGTAAAACATTCAGAAACGGATTGCATTATCCCATTCAGACCTGTGCTGAGAAGATTTGTAGCTTTCCAGTGTGGTTCTACATGCTTGTATGATTCCGTGCTATTGCTATGGCGATAAAGACAAAGGTTGCTGTGTTATGATTAATTTCCATAGTACACTATCAAAAGGATTTAATTATAACAATGGCATCATGCATTAAGGGATAATTCTTATATCTTTTTAGATAAATCTTTTCTTGTGTTGACCACAAATAGAAATATATTTTTTTAGGATGTTGGTAATTGAGCAGTTTTGGTTCCCAATGATTTCTATCAAAAGATGGAGACATGTCTCATTTCATCTTTAGTCACACAGGTCTGGAACGACATGTTTATATTGTTGAAGTGGGTTTTAAATTACATTAAAACCCCTAATCTCAAATACCTTTGTGTAGTGAAAACCTACACCCAATTTAGGTTGTTTTTATCCCAGTGGCTGGGTAAATATAGGACCCCTTACCAAAAAGTAGTATACTTCAAGTTTATTTTAGCAAGTATACTTAAGTAAAGTTCAAGTTATATTTTTAAGTATACTTTATGTAGTAAGTATACAAATATCAGTGTACTCGTAGTATACTTGTAAGTGTACTATTTCAATACTCCTTGGGACTAAATTGGCCCACTTTCTAGTATATAAAAGTATACTTTAAGTATAACAGTAGTAAACTTTGAGTACACAACTAGTTTACATCAAAATTTTTAGCTTGTACTGCAACTATACTAAAAGTGAACTTATAGGTATACTGATAGTTTACTAATTAAATACTTGTAGTAGCATTTTTAGTACACGTTGAAGTATAATCTCAGTAAACTACTAGTTTAATAGTTTTATACTGCAAGTATACTCATAAGTTTTCTTTAAGTGAACTTTACATCATACTTGAAGTATACTACTATGTCCCTATTTAGGTATTAATTTGTATATATTTTGTTACATGAATATCTGAACATACAAAACATCAAAAGAACAGGGTATCTGCTTGTAAACAAAAACATTTGATTCTAGCTTCATGCATTCTTTTTTTAAACACTTGAATGTGGATAAGTTTCCTGAATAAAAAATAAAGACATAAACAACAAAAAGCTGAAAAAAATACTATGAATTGGATTCAGAATGATCATCAAAACGTAGATAAAGTCGATCAACACCCCAAAG